TTCTTCTCCATTACAAAGTTTTTGATTCAGATATTCAGTTGGATGTAAAGGATATATAGGTTTTTTTGTTTCTTTTGGTTGTTCAAAGGCACCTCTCTTGTGACTTTAAGTTAAATGCAACTTGGTTGGGTAAAATACTCTTGGCCCATGTTTTCTTTCCTCTAGACCTTTCTAGCCACTGCTAAATTACCTTTTGGCACTGAGTATTATTGTGAAGGTATCTGGGGCTAGCCTGATTCTGTCTCCACCTTGGAGTGACTTGACCTTTTTGCATAAAGTTTGTTTAAAAAAAAATTTTTTTTTTCTTTATTGCTTTTAGAGAGAGAGAGGAAGGGAGAGGGAGAGATAGAAACATCGATGAGAGAGAACATCAATTGGCCACCTCCTGCATGCCCCCCACTGGGGATCAGGCCCACAACCTGGGCATGTGCCCTGACGGGGAACCGAACTGGCGACCTCTTGGTGAATGGGTCGATGCTCAACCACTGAGCCACACCGGCCAGGCTTTTTTGCATGAAGTTTTAATCATTGAAGTTCAAAACCTTCACCAGGATATGGCTTGGTGTTGAAAGTTCTGTGTTATATTTTCCTGAAAAACAGGATAATCTTTCAATATAGAAATTCAGTTTTTTTATTTTAGAAAAACATTTCTGTGTGATATATTTGAATACTTTTTTGTATCATTCATCAGTTTCTTAATTCAGGGATGACAGATCATCTTTGTTCTCAATATCCATTGTCACCTCTGAATTTTCTTTAATCTTTTTCTTCTGCATGCACTGTAACTATCTCATTGTAACAAAAAACAGATCATCTCTGTTGTTTTCTTACTGTTATGGCTGGGATCAACTTGGTTCTTCTTTTACTCTGATGGCTAGAATCCTTTGGGAGAATGTAGAATAGGAGTGGTGGTAATGGGAACACCAAACAGGGTCCTGTCAGAAAAGTAAAAACCATTCTAGGTATTTCAACAGAGGAGACATTTTTTCTTTTTTTTTCCAAGGCCCCCACCCTACATAAGGACCTACTGGTGCTCACCAAAATAACCATTATACTGCTAATTAGGTTTTATGAAAAGTACATTTTACTTTTAGTCAAAAAATCTGGTCTTGATTCCTAACTTTGTCATTATAGTAACTGTATCACCTAGGAAAAATTATACAGTTAGGTACTTACTTCATCTGACTATGAATTGAGAGTAATAATTAATATATTAGATCTTTCATGATTGACTGTTATTTTTCAGTCTTAATATAAAAATTTGTTCACATGTCCTCATTGTACTTAGAGTAAGCCTTTTCTTATAACTTTAATAAATCACAATGTTTATTTTCTTGGTACATTTCTCAGTAACAATAAACTTGTTTATTTGATGCTTATTCATTTGTTAACATCAAATGCACCAGAATGTTAAATGCATGAGGGTCAACAGAGGAGATTTAATAGAGGAAATTGGTTACCCAGATGATGGAAGAATAAACAGTTAGTTGTATTTCATATATCAAAAATAAGTACCAGTCACAGTATTACTAAAAAGTTTAAAAACCAATAAAAACAAATATTAGGATGATGAGCAAGAGTAGGGAGCTCTATCAGCCCTAAGACTGGAGGCAAAAAGGAGCTGGGATTCATAGAGCTCGGGAGCTCGGGATACTTAGTGGAACCTGGAACCATGACAGTGACCAGGAGTTGGGACAGTGGAGGACTCAGGAGATGGTACAGACAGATCAAAGACAGGGAGGGAAACACTCTGATTATACTTTTCTGCTTCTTTTCCATCTTTTACCATCACTTTCCACTGGCCAAGCCTATCTAAATGCCAGAGGGTTAGGGTGCCTGGGAACCAGAGTCCGCCTTTACAAGGACACAATAGTTTGCCTAGGTAGATATGTCTAAGGAAAACAATCATTCAGAACTTTGAAGACATTACTATTTTTGTCTCTTCCATTTAGAACTTTTAGACGATTATCATGTCTCCTGAAGCTAACTTCCAATTTTTAACTTATCTTTGAAATGTTTCTATGTTTATCTTTTAAAAATTAATTCAGAGAGTCCTGGCCGGTTTGGCTCAGTGGTTGGAGCGTCGGCCTGTGGTCCAGAGATCCCGTTTGGTTCCCGCTGAGGGCATGTACCTCGGTTGCAGTTTGTCTCTGGCCCTGGTTGGGTCGTGTGGGTGGCAGCCACTCGATGTGTCCCTTTCACGTCGATGTTTCTCTCTCTCTCTCCCACTCTATCTGAACAAAGAACAAAAAATGTCTTTGGGTGAGGATAAAAATAAATAAATAAAATAAAAATTAATTCAGAGAGATTTCCTAGCCTGTATCTTCCAGATCACTACTATATCTATTCTATAATTTTTTATAATTAATTTTTAAAATCATCTTTACTAAGGTATATATACTCATTTTAGTTATACATTTCAATGAGTTTTGACAAATGTATACAACCGAATTGTTTTTTAGATGCATTCATGTTGCTGCTTGTATTAGTAGTTTGTTCCTTTTTATTGGTAAGTCATATTCCATTGTGTGGATATACCACCATTTGTTGATTCATTCACCTGTTGCTGGATATTTGGATTGTTTTCAGTTTGGGACTGTTATAAAGATGCTGTGAAATTCACGCCTTTGTGTGGACGTGTGTTCTCATCACCTTGGGTAAGTGCATAGAAGTAGAATGGCTAGTCATATAAGGGACGGATTAACTTTATAACAAACTGCCAAAATGTTTTCCAAAGTGGTGATGTCATTTAATATTCCCACTAGCAACGTATAACAGTTCCAGTTGCTCTACATCCTCACCAACACTTGGTATTAGCAGTGTTTTTAATTTTAGCCATTCTACTGGTGGGTAGTGGTATCTAATTGTGGTTTTACTTTGCAATTTACTGATGAATAGTGATGATGAGTATCTTTGAAGATGTAGGAATGGGGAGTGAGTCAAGGAAAGTGAGTGGGGGAAGCTGGAAAACAGATTCTCCCTAGAGGCTCTAGAAAGGAATGCAGCCCTGACGACACCTTGCTTTTAATCCAGCGAGACTCATTTCAGATGTCAGACTTCCAGACCTGTAAGATAATAAATTTGTTGTTTTCAGGCACCAGGCTTGTGGTAATTTGTTACAGTAGCAGTGGAAAACTAACACATTAAGGTAATCATTTGCTGTGAGCGTTACTACTCACTGAACAATCAGATGACAAACCACCTGGGTTTGGTCTCAACCCTTTATCCCCATTCCCACTTCATTAACATTGCCTTAAGATATGGGCAGAGACTCTAAACTCAATGAATCTGGTGTGTTCGATTTTATGTGGCACTAGCATTGCTTCGAGAGGAGTGACTGATGCCAAGGGTAAGTCTGACCAGGAGTTAGGAGTGGTTTCAGTTACCCAGGCTTTTCCCTACTTTTCGGTATTGACAGTTTCCTGTTTCCTGCATGTATTCCAGGAAAGAATAGAAACAAGATGGCAAGTGCATGGAGGTTTGTCACCACACTACTGACACCCAATTTTTAAAAATTGTTTATGATAAATTAGTTCGGTTTTGTTGAAGTATAAAGCATTTGAAGGAAGTTCAGTGCAAGCCTTTCATCATGGGAATACGGCATGCCCCATGGGAGTGTGCTCAGTCGGTGTACAGGTTTGTCAGGACTGCCTTATATAACCAAGTACCACTGGGTAGCTTAAACAAAAGAAATTTATTTTCTCACAGTTCTGAAGGTAAAGTCCAAGATCAAAGTGTCATCAGGGGTGGCTTCTTTGGAGGCCTCTGTCCTTGGTTTATAGATAGCTGCCTTCACATGGTCTTTCCTCGGTCTGTATGTTCTCTATGTCCTATCTCCTCTTGTTAAACAATTTTGTAAAATATGTTTTTATTTTTTTAGAGAGAGGGACAGAGATATAAAAACATTGATGTGAGAGAGAGACATCAATTGGCTGCCTCCTGCACGCCCTCTACTGGGGATCGAGTCCACAACCCAGGCACGTGCCCTGACTGGGAATCAAACCAGGACCTCTCAGTCCATGGGACAGCACTCAATCCACCGAGCCACACTGGCCTGGCTAATTTCCTCTTCTTACAAGGACATCAGTCACATTGGATTAGGGCCCATCCATATGACCTCATTTTACCGTAATTATTTTTTTAAAGGCCCTACCTTCAAATAAAGTAATATTCTGAGGTACTAGGGTTTAGAATTTCAACATATGAATTTTGGTGGGACACAATTCAGTCCTTATCAGAGGGCAGAAAAGCTATTAATAAGGCATACAGAAAATGTTCGGGAAAGCAAAAATGAAAATATTTAACTTCACAGTCAACATTTGTACATCAGGAAAAAAATTAAGTGAAGTTCAAATAATGATAGTTCTGCAGTGAAGATCTGTTCATATATTTATAATTAGTTATACAGGGAAATGAGCAATTTCCCTGTAGAATTTATATTAGGCTCTAACAATGATAAAATGAAGTAAGCACTGGGATAAAAATAGTAAGCCCCATGCTTTAAAATGCATCAATATTTATAAATGTTTGTGGTAATAATCATAGCAATAAAAAATGGTAAGCTATTAAAATAATTACCTAAAGTATTATTTTTTGAGGTCAAGGACAATTATAGAAACACACGTGACTCAACCTGGCTAAATCTGGAAGAGGTCATGTACAGCTCAAAAGCACTTCTGGGGAAAAATGGATCAATTCACAGTTCATTGCTATAAAAGGATGAGAGTTCTTATAGCGACAGGCCTTTAAAGATGAGTATTTTCATAATTAGGTTAAGAGCAATTTGGACTAATAGCATGAGGAAGTAGAAACAGTGTTTAGAAGCTATGGAATGAATCTAGGAGTTCCTCAGTAAACGCCCAGTGAGAGGAGACTAGTGCTGTTCCCACCACCAAAAGACCAATCCAAACAGACAAATTAGGAATTTATATGCAACTGTAGTATCGGCAGGAAAAAACTCAGGAGAGAAAGGCAACAAATAGAATTCAATACTCAAGAAATTGTTTCATCCTTTGAAGTTACTTTAATTTTACAGTTATTGATTAATTAAAAAACACGGTTGTTTTCAGCATTTCCCAGCTACAGTAGTGCATAGGAAATTCCATTCTAAACAAAGAAGTAAATAATGAAATAACAATACACCTTAACATTTTACATTGATAGGTTACAGGTTACAAGGTGCTTTCACATACATTATTTCATTTAATTCTTACAATAAGCAGAAAAAAAACCCCAATCAGTGGGAAAGAAATTTTTTTTTTCCAAGCTTACAATGAGTATTTTCAGGCCAATGGGCAGTCAATATGAGATCGTATCAAAACCATGATAACACTACCCCACAAGCCACAATATCTTTTTTTGGTAGGTTGACAGTTTGATATCATTTGGATATTGAGCATCAGTGAAGGAAGAGAGAATTTGAACAGACAGGAGGTTCTCATGATATTCAAAGAGTTGTAAGAACACTGTAAGAGATAAGAAGAAAGTTGCCCTAAAACATCACCTTAACTAGATTCACTTCAAACCATGTTATCCCTTCAGAAAGTCATAAAAAGAATCTGACCACAACATGTGGAAGTTAGCAGGGACCTTGGAAACTGTGCAGTGGAATTCCTCCATTTTACAGATAAGAGAGCTGAGGCCAAGGCCATGCTGACAGTGACAGACCAGGCCTGAAACTAGGATGTCCTGGCTTTCAGTCTAGGGCTCCTTCCTCTACAATGCCATCTGCTTATTATTTACCAATTAAAATAAAATTTCTTCTGTTTCAAATAATGTAATTGAAGGCTAAATACTGATTCATGCCACTTATTTTTTATTCAAGTATGTATATTGTTCTTGGCTAAATTGTGGCAGACATTGAGAATTTTGTATAATTTTAAGATATTCTAATTTAGTGTCCTGGATAGGTTGGAAAGAGACTTCCTTGATATATTTAAAAGCTTGCTCATGTCCTTTAAATAGACAGAAGATGGAATGGCTAAATAGCTCTTAAAAACAATAACATATTGCCTATGGGTCATCTACCCAGAGAGATTTTACAGCATGTTGTGCTGGACAATAGCAATTTCATTAAAAAAAATATTTTTAGAATTCATAGAAATCTTTTGAATTACTGAAAACTAAAACGTAATAATCAAATTGTCATCCCCATGATTTATTAAAATAATTTTACAATAATATACAACAAAGCTACCATAGACTTTGTAGCATACATATAGAATACAATGATCAGCATGTTCTTGGGTCTAAATGAAATGCAAAAAAACTAATTAAAATATTTTATACAAATGAAGCTTTATAAGTTTATCAACACGATGATATATTTCTGTTACAACAAACTTGCTACGGCAAAGTAGCTCATATTTCTTGCACATTTTAAATACAGGTGGACCAGAAGCTGAAATCAGTATCAGCTTATAAACGACATAACCATGCAGAAACGCTTGACAACCAAGATATACAGATCAATCCAGAAAACATCTCAGACAGGCTTTTTCAATGTCTTCCAAGGTTTTACAGGGGTGTGTGTGGGAGAGATGAAAAGCAGTCAGTGACCTACCTGCACCGATAATGAAGCAAACAGAATGCTGACATACCTTAAGATCAATTTGATTAAAAACAACTCTTATATGCATGTTAATAGATCATAAAAAATGAGCACAGTTTATTTTCAGCTCTTTTGGTGTGTTGTTTTAAGACAGGTCACTGACACAGAGAAAAAAACCAGATGGGAAAATATAAAAGCAAAGCAAAAAATTGTTTTAACAACGGAGTTAAGCCCTGGACTCTCAACAAACACTAAACTAAATGTGCAAACGTGCTGGAAATTTCCACATCACCACAACGTTGTTAAGTCAGTTGGCAAGAGTATATAAAAAAACTAAGCTTCAATGCTAAAATAGCATCTGTATGATCACACATTTTGTTTACTAAAAGAAGAGGCTAGAAATTATTACATATCTGAAAATATCACATCTCAAAATTAAAATACAATTGTGGCAGTTTTATAAAGTTTGTTCCTTTCCTCATTGATGAGGCACAGGATAAATGTCAAAGTTGCAAGACAACCTTTACCTCAGGCTGACAAATAAGAACCTGAACAACGTCCTTTGTTCTTAGCTGTGATAAAACATAGCAAAGCAAAAACATGGAAAACCTCATTTAAATAAGAGCATGTCTATAGTGTTTACAAAAATTAAGCCATTTGCTTGATTTAATAAAGTATTTGTCCACATTAATGTTCCTTTTAGTCATTTCTTTTCCTTTAAAAAGTTTACAATGAGGACTTACTTGAGAAACTTAACGTTTTGTCACTTTCATTAGTCATATTCTATTAAAACACTGGCTAAAACCCTTATGGAAGAGTCAAGGCTTAGAAATATTACAACTCTTCTCTGATACCTACAGAAATGCTGATACCAAGAGAGAGAATCTGGATGATGATAATCCAACGATTAGTTTTTCTTGCGAATGCGACATGTTTGTCACACTGCACAGGCTGGTTATTTAATTACTCAAGGGGAGGATGATATAAAAAAAGAGGTGAGGGAAACTAGAACCTCTGATCTATAGGAATCCATATTTCTGGATCTAGCTACTCTATGTTAGTCTATCCAAATTTATGGCCAGAACAGTGGCTTTTAAGAAAGTTAGTATTTTAATTTATATATATTTCCTTGGTGATAAAACAGTCTATCTTCAAAAATTGTCAAGAGTTCTGGCAAAACTGAGTCTGAGCTACTCCAAGTAAAAATAATTATTAGGAAGTATCTCTTCGAGCCATTGACCAACAAAAATATTGACAAGAACTACTAAAAGCAACACTTATCCTTCCCTTCAAATGTCACATAGCCATAACACTGCCCATCTGAAACACCAGCAAAATAAAACAGAGCACTGTTTGGAGGAAAACAAACGAAAAGGAAAAAGAAAACAATGGATGCAGGAGAGGAGAAGACAAACCAAAGAGAAGCAGGGACGTGTCTAGTTCTGTGCCATGGCAGACAATGCTGGCTTAGCGGTGCCTGGCTACACGGTGGACGCAGAGTGCACACACAGATGATGGCAATAAAGACCTCACTCAGTCGCTGGAATGAAGGAACTGGGTAACTGCTTCAACAAGGACGGTCTCAGCTCCACCTTGATCTCCCAACAGAGTGCAAAGACTGAGCGTGAGCTCTGATGTCCTCTTGTTGCTCATGTTTAAAATTCACAAAATTCTTTTGCACATTTTTCTGTTATAGAGACACGGATATCTTCTTCTTCATAGTCATCAAAGTTGCTGGTATCTCCAGAGCCTCTGAACTTTGGTATGAATGGAGCTTCAACCTATCATTGAGAGAGAGAGAAAAATAAGTGTGATATTGTGATTTATAATAAGACATAGATTTGGTCTTCATCCTGACTTGTGGCACAGAATTCCTAAAAACCCTTAGAAATTCCTGAGTATAGAGCTTGGTAAAGATTCTTTTTGTTATGTTAATGAGGTGACTTTTGGAAAGTCCCTGGGTAACCTAAGGGTGGGGGCTGGCTGCCAGGGGAACCAACCAAGTGATTAGAGTCGGTATTTTCAACTGGTGTGCCACAAGAATTTTTAAAACATGCAATACCTGACTATTTAGTCAGGGGCACTGATCTCTTTTCCTTTAGATTGTCAAAAAAAAAAAAAAAAAAAAAAAAAATGACAGCAGCCAACACAATAGCCATCTGGTGTGAATGCCCTGTCTTGAACCATAATATATAGGTCAGATAATAGAGGTACATCTTATTGGTCACATCACATAATAAGAAATCCTTATATACACGTATAGGCACCTGACTTTTTATTTTTTGAAAGTTAATATATTAAAAAAATTTTTTTTTCTTTATTGATTTTAGAGAGAGAGGAAGGGAGAGGGAGAGAGAGAGATAGAAACATCGATGAGCGAGAACATCAATTGGCAGGCTCCCACACGCCCCCCACTGGGGATTGGCCCACAACCTGGGCATGTGCCCTGACCAGGAACCGAACCGGTGACTTCTTGGTGCATGGGTCGACACTCAACTACTGAGCCACATTGGCCGGGTGGCACCTGATATTTTGAAAAGTCACTTTGGAGCACAAAGGGTAGGCAACTACTACTCTTGGGGGGTGGGGCAATAAATAAAAATTACACCTATTTTTTTTGGTGTCAGATTGGCAAAAATATGTATTTTTTGGTGTGCCCAGAATTTTAGTAATTAGTTTATGTGTGCCATGAGGTGAACAAGGTTGAAAACTGCTGGGCTAGAGGACTGGAATCTTCAGATCTCCACGGGAGGTGAGAAGGGCTGAAGATTGGGTTCAATCACCGAAGGCTAATGATGCAATCAATCGTGCGCATGGAATGCAGCCTCCAAGCAACCCCGGAACGATGGGGCTGGAGAGCTCCTGGGGACAGTGGGGTGCTCCGAGAGAGGGAAGCTCTGAGCCCTTCCCACACACCTCGCCCCATATAGCTCTTCCATCTGGCTGTTCCTGGATCACATTCTTTTTTTTTTTAAATATGTTTTTATTGATTTTTTTGAGAAAGAGGGGAATGGAGAGAGAGATAGAAACATTGATGTGAGGAAGAAACATCGATTGGCTGCCTCTTGTATGCCCCCTACCAGGGATCGAACCAGAAACCCAGGCATGTGCCTTGACCTCCACTGAGCCACACTGGCCGGGCCTGGGTCATATTTTTTTATAATAAACTGGTAACGTAGTAAGTAGTTTCTCAGTTCTGTGAGCTGCTCTAGCAAATTAATCAAAACCCAAGAGGGGTTTGTGGTGACCTGCAATCTATAGCTGACTGGACTTGAGATGGGTGTCTGAGGGGGGTGGGGAGTTTGTACACTGAGCCCTATCATGTGGGATACGGCGCTATCTCTAGGTTGATAGTGGAAGAACTGAGTTAATTGCTTGGGGGTGTGTGGAAAAAACCACACATTTTGAATAAGGTGAAAAACAAATGCCTAAGAGTTTCCAAACACTAGGGAAAGTAAATTCCCACTTACCAATGAGGGCATCTTTAAATGCCTGTCAGTCCCTAAATGATAACAGCATTAGAAAAAGGAGCAAACAGTGGGCTTGCTATTAATATCAACATTTTCATTCAACAAGACACTTTTAGAGATGTCTAAGGTAATGAACTGTGGGCATTTATAAGTTCCTTATTTCTAAAGCCTTTATTTTCCGTCCTCTTTTCCTTAATTTCTTTCTCCTGAGGTTACAGGTTAATTCTTTTTCTTTTTTTTTATCCTCACCCAAGAACATTCTTTTTTGCATTTATCTTCAGATAGAGTGAGAGGGAGAGGGAAGAAGAGAGAGAGAGAGAAACATCAATGTGAGAGAGACACATCGAGTTGTCGCCACCCACACAACCCCAACCAGGGCTGGGGACACACTGCAACCGAGGTACGTGCCCTTAGCGGGAACTGAACCTGGGTCTCTCTGGTTTGCAGGCTGATGTTCTAACCGCTGAGCCACACCAGCCAGGGCTACAGTTTCTTTCTTTTTTTTAATCCTCACCCGAGGACATTTTACCATTTTTTGTTCAGATAGAGTGGGAAGAAGAGAGAGGAAGAGAGAGAGATAAACATCGATGTGAAAGGGACACATCGAGTGTCTGCCTCCCGCACAACTTGGGTCAGGGACAAACTGCAACCGAGGTACCCTTAGTGGGGACTGAACCCAGGTCTCTTAGACCGTAGGCCGATGCTCTAACCGCTGAGCCAAACCGGCCAGGGCTACAGTAAATTCTTATACTTACTTTTAATCTCCTTCCTTTTTAAGTTCCCAAGTTTATTTTGTTTAAAACATCTGGCTATGAAAACTTTCTGAAAGTTTGAAAAAAACAAATTTCTCCTAAAATTACAGAATTGTTAAATTCTGAACCTTTTTCTCCTTGTATCCTAAAACTATAATGTCTTTCCATTATTTAAAATATGGTTTTTATAAAGATTATATGGTATATTTAATATGTTTGAGGAAAGGATTTTAAATGCTGAAAATATAATATGACAATTTACACAGCATTTATAGTGTTTACAAATAATCTCATTTCTTCCTCAATATGACACTGTGAGAGAGGCAGGGCAGGTCTCCTTATCACCATTGTATAGGATTCTAAAACAGAAAGGGTTAAAATTCACATGACTAAGTGGCTAAAGCAGGTTTCAAATTCATGATTCTCTACTAGTGGCCCAGAGTCCTTTCTAATATCTACGCCAGTGGTCTCCAAAGTATTATGATTTATATGGCTTTTAATTAAACATAAAGGATATGCCACCAATATATGTATTGTTATTTATTTATAAATTATTTATATGCACAACTATACTATTATAAGATATACTTACAAACAAGACATTAAAAATAAGGTAAAAATCGCCCTGGCCGATTTGGCTCTGTGGTTAGAGCACAGGCCCATGGACCAAAGAGACCCGGGTATGGTTCCTGCTAAGGGCCCGTACCTCGGTTGCAGTTTGTCCCTGGCCTCGGTTGGGTTCGTGTGGGTGGCAGCCACTCGATGTGTCTCTCTCACATCGATGTTTCTCCCTCTCTCTTCCTCCCTCTCTGCCTCCTGCTCTATCTGAAGATAAATGCAAAAATGTCCTCGGGTGAGGATAAAAAAAAAAAATAAAAAAAAAAATAAGGTAAAAAATAATAGGAACAGAAAGTCGAGTGTCCTACTTTTGTCGGCTGGTTGTCTTGTGTGCCTGCTTCAGGGGACAGGCGGCTGTCTGCGGAATGCACAAGAAGGAGTGAGGAGACAGCCTCACATCTACTCGGGGAGCGATTTAGGATCGCAGCTACTGGTACAATCGTTTCTAGAGAATGCTTCTACAGTTTGAGTTTCCAGGCTTCTTTCTTATTTCTGATCTTTCTGCTAGATGCCTTTGGCTATTTCATTGTTCATGAACACTGGGTCGGAGAGTAAAAAAGATTATAAAACTATTCAAATTTTCTATTATTTTTTCTCTGCGGTGCAGAGTTACAATGGAGACAATATTAAAACAAATTGCTATGTTAAAGTACTGAATTATTTTTGTCTGTAAATTATCCTGGGATCCCCAAGTCCATTTTAATTGAAAATCAAGATTTGCTGTCAATCAATTTGCCCTGTAATATAACCTGTTTGTTCTAGTGTGTTACTTTTTGGCAGATAAGCTATTTACTACCTGGGATAAGGTACGCTGTTTGGAAAACACACAAGCTCTAAGTGAGCTCTGTTCTGTTCTATGCTATGTTAAGAATACTTGTTACAAATACCCTGACTGGTTGCTAAGTGGTTAGAGCATCAGCCTGTGGACCAAAGAGCTGCAGGTTCGATTCCAGTCAAGGGCATGTACCTTGGTTGTGGTTTGGTCCCAGGTCCTGGTCAGGGTCTTGCAGGAGGCAACCAGTTGATGTTTCTCTCTCTCTCTCCCTCCCTCCCTCCTACTCTATCTGAAGAAAAATGAAAAATATCCTCCGGTGAGGATTAAAAAACAACAACAAAATACAATAATGATGTGTACAGATTAGTAAATGTTTGCTAAGTAACAGCAGAAATTTTTGTATCTAAATAAAGATATATATATATATATATATGCAAAATATATCATAATATTTAAAATAATAAAATGGACAGACCTTAAGCAAATATAATAAATACACTTATATGTAGCATTAATAATAAATATACCAATAAAGATAATATAAACAGTGATAATTACAAAAGGATATGATTAATTTCATTAAAAATATATTTTTCTAGCCCTGGCCGGTTTGGCTCAGCGGTTGGAGCGTCGGCCTGCGGTACAGAGAGACCCGGGTTCGGTTCCCGCTAAGGGCACGTACCTAGGTTGCAGTTTGTCCCCGGCCCTGGTTGGTCGTGCGGGTGGCAGCCACTCGATGTGTCCCTTCACATCGATGTTTCTCTCTCTCTCTCTCTTCCTCTCTCTCCCTCCCGCTCTATCTGAACAAAAAATGGAAAAACGTCCTCGGGTGAGGATAAAAAAAAAAAATATATATATATATATATATATATATTTTTTTTTTTTTTCTAAAACTGACTCAAAAAGAGGCAAAAACGTGTAGAGACCAATATCCAAAGCATTAGTTTGTTAAAACTTCCAAGGAATAATTACAAGGTAATTTCTATGTTTTTTAAATTTCCTAAAGAATAAAAAAGAGAAAATTTCTAAACTCATTTTATGAATCCACATAATCTCAACTCCAGAAAAACAAACCTACAGGTCAATAAAACTTATGACTATGAAAGTAAAAAAACCTAAAAAAAATTTTAGCATATTGATTTCAGGCGGATATTAAATTAATACCCCATGATCAAATGGCATTCACCTCAAGAACACGAGGATATCCTCACTTCATCATAGTAATATGCCAAAGATAAAATACATTATACTAGGTAGGAATCAGGAATATTTCCTTAACTTGATCTAGAGCACTTATACAAGACAAAGGACCAACTTTGTATTTGATGGTAAGACAGGAAAGTCACTCCCATTCCAAAGAGGAACAAGTAGCTTAACAGCACTCTGCTTAAAAATATCATTCTAGACATTCTAGCATATATAATAAAACAAAATGGGAATAAAAATATAAACCTTGAAAAAGAAGAGACAAAGGATACCTCTCCCCTCTGTGATTATCTGTCAGTAAAGTCCAAGGGAATCGCTGATAGTTAAGGAAATCAGTAACAGGATTTAATAAGGTGGCCAATTACAAGGAAAACACAGAAATCATATTTCCCCCATATATTCCACTATGATGGGAAAGCAAACACATTCACACCAGCAGCGGGGATAAATGGTGATGGCCGGAGACTTGGGGTGGTGAACAAGCAATACAGTGTACAGAAGATGTGTTGTAGAATTGTGCACTTGAAACCTGTATAATTTTGTTAACAGTGTCACCCCAATAAATTCAATAAAAAGGGAAAATAAGGAAAATATTTCTACTACATATAATTTAAACACTAGCTTTAAAAAATCTTTTAAATTGAAGAAAGGAAAGGCTAACCTTCCTCTGGTAAATGGCAATCCAATCTGTTGTGGCAAACCACTTGTGAGTTTTTATATCACTCACACCGTTCTTTAGATTTCCAAAGCGCTTTGTCAGGTCCACCTGCAGCAGGTTCCGTAGAAGGTCCTTGAGGTCTGAGCTGAAGTGCGACGGGAATCGAACCTGCAAAAACACACCAAGTGATAAAACATGCATTCCGGTGACAACCTTCAATACTTTAAACTACGCATTTTAGTCCCCATAGTAGTCTTAAAGAAGAGAATGAATTGGGTGAATGAAACCATTCTCTCAGGGCCTTGTTTGGGTCATGAACCCTCTTTAAGAACATAGACCCCTCTCCAGGAAAATGTGCATGACATACACATTTAAGAGACCCCGTGGAACCCACATTACAAACTTCTGTCTTAGAGACATACAGATGTACACCTGTAACTTAAATAGAAAAAGCAGAATATAAAGATATCAGCATGCACATTTTGAAAAGAGATGATAAAAAAGTCTAAAAATGATTATAAAACTCACACTGCCTTTCACAGCACAGGAAACCATTTCCATGTACTTATTAGTGGGTGACTTTCAAGCATAATTCTGCTACTATGCAACAGTATAAAATGATTTAGACTGTTTTAAAAGCATTTTTGACTTCCTAAATTATGAAGATTTTACAATTAGTTGACTGGCCAGCCTTAAAAACAAAACAAAACAACTCAAAACAACAGAAAATTTATTACATATTAGGCATTCAATAAAGTAAAGTATTAATCATAGGAGATCTAGGTCTATTTTTAGTTTTGTTTTAACACATTCTTCTCTTCTAACTCTCTACTCCAATATAATTCCTAGTTCTCACCCTTTTATTAATATGGGTACTGAAAGATTAAAATAGGTACTCCTAAGGGATGGTATTAGAAAGAATATCTCCATCTATCTTTTTACTCTCTTCTTTTGTTACTACCTCTTCACTATCCTTTTCAACTTGTTGCCCTTCTTCCCACCACACATGCAGGTGTGCATGTGCGTATGTACGTGTGTGCTCACTTTTATCCTCATCCCCTTTCTCTATAATGCACGCCTTGGGGCCTTGGCCCCATTTCATATTCCCTCTGCCACTGAACACAAACAGTATTCTCTGGATTATCATGGCATTGACTTCAAACTGACCACAGACCTCTGTAGAAATGCTTTAAAGTGTTAACAGATCCATTCTGAACTCCTTGCATTCTTACTTTGCTTCTCTACAAGTACCACCAGCAACTTATAACTTGCAAAGTGACTCATTACATTACCTCTGTTGATTTCCACAGTACACTCATTCACTTAATTATGTTGTAGTATTTTGTGCATGTCTGTCTTCCCTAGACTATGAGTTTCTAGAGGGAAGGAACTGTGCCGGTTTTGTGTTTTTATTCCCAGAATTCATTAGATCGTTTCAAATAACGTAGTTCATCAATTTTACAGTTACTTACTAAGTATCTGTTATGTACCAGAATATATAGCAGTGAGCAAAAACAAAGTCTCTGGTTTCATGGAACTTACATCCTAGTTAGATATGACACACTCATGGATATGGCATTAACTCCAAAGATAAAGAAACTAGGATTCAGAGACATTCTATAACTTACCAAATCATCACACCATGAAGTGGCAGAGCTGGGACTAGATATATGGTCTTATGATTCCTAGTCTCATAAATTTTTCTCTTTGATACACTGTCTTCAAACTATAATATAACTCTGACTTTCAAAAAGCTCAACATACTGGGTGTATCTTCTTATGTTCTCAAAGTAGAAGTTAAGTTACGAGCTTGCACAGCTGGGTTCTGGCAATGCTAGATTCATAGCCACGGTCTTCTGATGGAAGACTATCCTGTGAATAAATGTTTCCCAAAGTGTGGTGCCAGGACCCACGTCCACTGGAATGAAGCAGGAGAGGAGAGGATAAAAATGCAGATTCTGGGGACTTATGTCAGATGATGAGGGCATCGGGCCTAAAACTCCTAGTTTCTATCTCCAAATGACCCGTGTACAACACGAAAACTTGAAGAGCACTATCTGTGACTCTATTCACTTATTTATGCAGAAATTTTATTTTTTCTGCTAATGACAGATAAAAAAAATTTAATGTAAATAATAAACTAAAATCATTGTCACACCAGAGGAAAACTAAATACTATTTTTGGCAAGCAACCGAAGACTATTTGAAGGTTGAGTAGCTAGTAAATGACCAGGATTTGGTGGTGGTGGTGGGGGGAATTCATATAAATTAGCAACTAAAAGCTTCATTTTTGAAACCTATATTATCAGATTGTAAGAGTTTTCATGTTAAGAAAAAAAAGATGTGAACTACCACCTTCTTGAGGTCTTACTTCTCAAACAATGGCTTATTGGAAGTTAGGCATTGTGTTAAGCAGTTTACATGCATTGGTTCGTGAAATCCAAAACCTAACACTGAGATAAGTATTATTACTCCCATTTTAAAGGTGATGTATTTGAGACCTACAGAGATTAAGTAATTTTCCCAACACTACAGAGCTAATAATTGGTAAAGCTTTAATTTCAAATTAGGTACTCTGACTCCAGCATATACACTTTTAATTAGTTTATGCTATTTCCACGATTCAATAACCTGGCGATACTTATTGTCAGGAACTTTATAAAGGACTGAGATTTTCGTCTTAAAAATATTTGCTATACATTTCTTCATTTATCCTAGTTGGAATGAAAACTATAATATATGGGGTATTCAAAACACACACTGCCTATTTGAAATATAACACAATTTATCTATATATAGTAGTTGTATTCTTTGTTTAGGTTCCAAAGCAATAACTTATTTGGAGCAGACCTATCTTTGTCTAGGGTGGTTCGCATGAACTGTTTAATGTAACATGGTTATTCTTTTCCTTCATGGTGTTCAGAACGGTGGACAGTAATGTGCTACATATAAATTATCTTCTGAATTCAGGTAACATGCAGGAAGAATATACACACCTAAAGGAAGTAGTTTTTTTTTTTTTTTTTAAATGCCCAAGGACATTTTTCCATTTTTTGTTCATATAGAGTGGGAGGGAGAGAGAGAGAAACATCGAAGTGAAAGGGACACATCGAGTGGCTGCCACCCGCATAACCCAACCGGGGCCGGGGACAAACTGCAACCGAGGTACATGCCCTTAGCGGGAACCGAACCCGGGTCTCTCTGAACTGCAGGCCGACGCTCTAACCACTGAGCCAAACAGGCCGGTGCAAGGAAGTAGTTCTTTATTTTGGAATGTAGATAAAGTGATGGTCTTGAATTAGTTAATGTGTGTATGCATCTGTTTAGTGTTCAGAAGAGTGACTCTCAAATGGGGAATGGTAGCGGGCGTTTTAATGGCAGATATCAGGATCATTTAGGAATGTTTTCAATTTATAGATACATTATCTTCACTTCCACATCACACCCTCTTCTTCCCCAGACATTCTGATAGGTGGCCCACACTCTCATCGTAAGCCATGTTAATGACGGGAATCACAACCTTACAGATTACCGAGGGAGAAATAATGAGAATCATTGTGAAAGAATTTTTTCCCATGGTTGTTCTGAAATGTGATCAGAAATCAATTTCCTTATTGACTGAACTTTCCATAGACCTATGTTGATTCATCATTCTGAACTTAGCAAAACAAAACAAAAAACACCCCCAAAACAAAAGCAAAAACAGAAAATAACTTAAAATTATGTTTTAATTACAAGACATTTTTTTATAGTATAGGGTGGGGCAAAAGTAGGCTTACAGTTGTTTGTTTGGAAAAGAATACAATTAATGAGTAACACAAGAATACACTGTGTTTTTTGTACTTACCACTGTACATCTTTTCTTTTTAATTAATTTATTTTTTGTTATAGATGTCCCTCTTCTTCCCCCATTGACACTCTCCTCTCCGATCCCAACCTATCCCCACCTTCACAGTATTGTCTGTGTCCATTAGATGCGCACATATGCATGTAAGTTCTTTGGTTTATTTCTTCCCACCCCTCACCCCTACCACTTAGGTTTGTCAGTCTGTTCCCTACTTTCATGTCTATGGGTCTATTTTGTTCATCAGTTTCTTTTGTTCATTAGATTCCACAAATAAGTGAGATCATGTGATGCTTGTCTTTCTCTGACTGGCTTATTTCTCTTAGCATAATACTCTCCAGGTCCCTCCATGTCAACTCAAAGGCTTTACAGCTACATAATATTTCCATTGTGTAAATGTACCACAGCTTTTTTATCCACTCATCTACTGATGGACACTTCGGCTATTTCCAGATCTTAGCTATTGACATAGTGCTGCTATGAACACAGGGGTGCATATATTCTTTCTGACTAGTGTTTCAGGCTTTTTAGAATATATTCCAAAAAGTGGAATCACTGGATCAAATGGCAATACAATTTTTTTTGTTGTTGTTAATCCTCACCGAAGGATTCTTTTTAATTGATTTTTAGATAGAGTGGAAGGGAGGGGAGGGGGTGAGATAGAAACATCGTTGTGAGAGAGACACATCGATTGGTTGCCTCTTACATGACTCTGACTGGGGATCAAACTCGCAACCCAGGTACGTGCCCTTGACTGGGAATCGAACCCTCCACACTTTGGTCCAAGGGCCAATGTTCTAAATGCTGGGCCAAACTGGCCAGGGCTCAATTTTTAGAAGATGCTCCAAATGGTTTTCCATAGTGGCTGCACTAGTCTGCATTCCCACCAGCAGTGTACTAGGGTCCCCTTTCCTCCACCCCATCTCCAGCACTTGTTTGATGATTTGTTGATGGCAGCCATTCTGGCAGGTATGAGGTGATACCTCATAGTCATTTTAATTTAATCTCTGATAATTAGTGACACTGCATTTTTTCACGTCTCTTTGCCATTTGTATGTCTTATTTGGAGGGGTGTCTATTCAGGTTCTTTGCACACCTTAACTGGATTATTTGACTTCCTTTTGTTGAGTTGTATGAGTACTCTATATATTTTGGAAATTAACCTTTATCTGATGTATCATTGGCAATTATGTTCTCCTATACAGTGGGTTCTCTTTCCATTTTGATGGTGGTTTCTTAAGCTTTTTATTTTAATGTAGTCCCATTTACTACTTTTTCCTTTGTTTCTCTTGCCCTAGGCGATGTGTCCATGAAAATTCTGCTA